GCAAATAAGTTATGCTAATGAGCTCCTGCACCTCTTTTTCTACGAAAAGACCCCTGGATCTGGGGGCTACAAAATTGTGAGCTAGCTCACACTCACTCAGCTTAGAGGGAACACGGGTCCAGAGGGCCTCTGCCCGCGATCCGTCGTGATGCGTGTTCTGTCGTTCAGGATCACGGAAGACGACGCCGAGGAGGAGATGGAACAGAACATGGTCTACGTAGACAGCTTGCTGGGAAACCTGCGCAACATGGCCATAGATATCGGCAATGAGATCGACATCCAGAACAAACAAATGGACAGCATTGCAGGGAAGGTAAGAGACAGATTGTCACCTTAGGATGGCTCAACCTCGCCTCCCAGCGGAGCCCATGCATGTTCGAGTGGGCTGGCCGAGGCAGGGATAATTGCGTATGTGTGCGGAGGAGAAGGAAGAAGAAGAGATTGGATTTATACCCCACCCTTCACTACCCAAAGGTGTCTCAGAGCGACTCACAAACTCCTTTCCCTTCCCCTCCCTACAACAGACACCCTGTGAAGTGGGTGGGGCTGAGAGAACTCTGACACAAACTGCTCTTTTTCAAGGACAGCTGTGCCAGAGCTTGTGACTGACCCAAGGTCACATCAGCAGGTGCAAGTGGAGGAGTGGGGAATCAAACCCGGTTCTCCCAGATTAGAGTCCACGCACTTAACCACTACACCAAACTGGCTCACCTTTCCCTTCCCCTCCCCACAACGGACACCCTGTGAGGTAGGTGGGGCTGAGAGAGCTCTCTCGAGAACTGCCCTTGAGAGAACAGCTCAGAGAGAACTTGTGACTGACCCAAGGTCACACCAGCAGCTGCATATGGGGAGAAAAAGAAGAGATTGGACTTATACCCCCACTCTTCACTACCCAAAGGAGTCTCAGAGCGGCTTACAATCGCCTTTCCCTCCCCCTCCCCACAACGTACACCCTGTGAGGTAGGTGGGGCTGAGAGAGCTCTTTCGAGAACTGCCCTTGAGAGAACGGCTTTGAAAGGGCTTGTGATTGACCCAAGGTCCCCAGCTGGATGCACGCGGAGGAGTGGGGAATCCAGCCCGGTTCTCCCAGATTAGAGTCTGTGCTCCTAACCACTACACCAAACTGGCTCTCTCTTAACCACTACACCAAAGAGTATTAAGCCTTCCCACATCCTGGCCTTGATACAGAACCCCCCTCTTAAATACAGCCAGTTTGGTGTAGTGGTTGAGAGCGCGGACTCTAATCGGGGAGAACCGGGTTGGATTCCCCACTCCGAGACTCCTTTGGGTAGTGAAGGGCGGGGTATAAATCCAATCTCCTCCTCCTCTTCCTCCTCCTCCTTCCTTCTTCTTCTGTTTACCTCTTCAAAAAACCCAAGGTCTGCTCACGGGTTTCCCAAACACACCTCTAAGTGGGCTTTTCCATTTCCCAATGCCTTTTGGGGCTGTTTCTTTCTCACCCAACAGCAGGGGTCTTTGTTTCTCTTCATTTTAAGGAACCTTGTGGTTAAAGGATTTCGGACGATTTTTTGACAGAGAGGGGGGGGAAAGGGATAACTCCATCCATACTGCAGTCATCAGAAACACGACCTCCGAAAAGTACCCTGACCTGGATGGCCAAGGCTAGCTTGGTCTTGTCAGGTCTTGGAAGCTAGGCCTGGTCGGTCCTGGTTAGTACTCGGAAAGGCGTGTGAGAGAACAGCTCTGTGAGAACCGGTGACTGACCCAAGGTCACACCAGCAGCTGCATGTGGAGAAGTGGGGAATCGAACCCGGTTCTCCCAGATTGGAGTCTGCACTGTTCACCACCACACCGAACCGGTTTACAGGAGGAGAGCCCCTCTCCAATGTACGTGACTGACAGCCACGGCCATGGATTAGGCACTATTTTAAGACGCTGAACTGCGGGCTGTGGAAGGTCAGTAGTTCAGCAGTTCGAGGCCCGAGTGCCGCATGACGGAGTGAGCTCCCGTCTCTAGTTCCAGCTCCTGCCAACCTAGCAGTTCGAAAGCAAGACATTGCAAGTAGATAAATAGGTACCACTTTGGTGGGAAGGTAACAGCGTTCCCTGCGCCTTGGTGTTTAGTCATGCCGGCCACATGACCACGGAAACATCTTCGGACAGCGCTGGCTCTTCGGCTTGGAAACGGAGATGAGCACCGCAACCCTAGAGTCGGATTCGACTGGCGTTCGAGCAAGGGACACCTTTGCCTTTACTTTAAGCCTTCCCTTTCCTGAATTTCAAAATTCCCCCCTGTGGGGTTTTATTTAAAACTCTGGACAGTGGGGAGAGTTGATATCAGTCCGGCATTATATGGTTTGCGCGTCCGTTGCGTTGCCTCAAGAGTAAATACACAGGTGGGTGAATGAACGTCTTTCTTTAGTGGAAGGAGCGGCACATTATCTCCAGTGTTCCCTCTAAGCTGAGTCAGTGTGAGCCAGCTCACATTTTTTTAGCCTCCAGCTCACACATTTTCGTTGTCGCTCGGGAAGGATGTGGCTCCAGAGCAAACTGATCTATGCAGCAGCCGAATCGCTCGCTCACAACTTTAATGCCGGTAGCTCACAAAGTAGAATTTCGGCTCACGAGACTCCACAGCTTAGAGGGAGCATTGGTTATCTCCACCCCTGACCTGACACGGATCGCTTTCTCGTTCTCCGCAGGTCGACACGAACGACACGCGGATCAGGGGCGCCAACTCCATCACCGCCAAGATGCTGAAGTCCTCCTGAGCTGGCCCACCGTCCATCTTTTACCCGCCTCTCCCTCTCTCCCAACCCCCCACCTCTGATTTCCTCCGCTCTGTTTCTGAGGATGGATTGATTTCCCACAAGGCCGTTTAGAACACTAAAGGGGGGGCGGGGGCGGAGAAACAGACTGGTTTTAAACCACCGACTTAAATCGAATCTCCCCTAGTTCGGAATCCACGTATTTCCTGAACCGCCCTGCCCAGTGGATGGTTACTGTGGCTGAACAGATATCGTGACTGACTACGGCCGAGGGGCGTCATCCAAAACCTATGCCCGGGTAGCCCACACGAGCCCTTTAGAGCGATTCCTGCTTAGAGGTGAGGTTGACTTAGCCCGGTAGCTGAGAGGGCGGCGTGTAAATCCCCCCCCTCCCCGAAATCAAGACAGGACACCGAGCGAGATCAAACAACTGAAAGGTGAAGTGTGCACGACTTTTGTGCCGAAGTTGGTAGTTACTGGGCAAAAGAGGCAGCGCGGAGACGGGCATTGCAAAGGGAGTTGTGGATGAAAGCGCTCTGAGACATCTTTTCCCAATGCACATGTGGCTGCGGCACACATACAAGGCTAGTAGGTGCTACAGCGGGCGGCTGGCTGTTTGGACGCGAATGCTTGCTCCTTCCCCTGTTGTGCTAGGACAGGGTCCCCCAACCATGTGTCAGCCTCCTTAGTCAGGTCACACCACACAGGGCTTCATAAGAAGATAACTGTTTATTGATGGTTCCCCTATTAAAGAACACGTGTACAGATTGTGTCAGGAATGACCGTCAGTAGTAGGGTCTCTGACTTATAGTGAAATCGAACATTTCCCCTGGAAGCCTAAGCCAATAGATATGTTTCGCGCGTGCGGCAGAGCAAGCGGGCAGAGCAAAAAAGGCGTTAGCTTTCCCAGCCGTGTAAACGGCAGCTGGAACTACAAGGCCATGCATAAGATGGTGCACAGTAGCTGAGCGGGAGAGAGCTGGAAATGAGAAGGAGGATACCCCTCCACATTCCAGATCTATGACAGGGCTACCTGACACCATGGCCCCCACCACTTGTGGCCTGCCGAGCTTTCAGGGAAGTGTGTGGGGCTGTTTTACGGCAGGGCTTCCCTCGTTCGAATGAAAGGGTTTCCCACTGGAGGAAAGGGAGAGCTGGTCAGTGTCTTGGCTTTCCGTCATCAGTGTGTTTCCTGGGATTTCCTCCTTCCCAGGAGGTGTGGGGAGGGAGGTGCTCTGTTTGGCTCCGCCTCCAGGGGGCAGCCATTTAAAACTTGGCCCCGCCCCCTTTGGCAGCCATTTTGGGGCGGTGCTCAGAATCCCCGCCCTCAAAATTCCAGAGGCGCCTGCAGGCCCAAAAAGGTTGGGGGGACCCTGCGCTAGAAGACGCGCCGCACATGGCCCGCCTCAGATGAAAGGGGTTTTTTGCTGCTGCGCGCAGTTGCAGGATGGTTGCATTCCCTGCAGCTGGCAGAAGGGGGAGACACCGAGCAGAGATGAACTTAATCCCCAGAGGCCCGGAGTTTTCTTTTGCTACTTGCTTGCCTGCCCCCTCCGACTCCTGTAGCATTTCGGTTGAGCTTTCAGTGTCCAAAGCCCTTCACGTGTGTTACCTTGGTGACCGCCTCACGATACCCCTGTACAGGGGTCATTTCGTAGAAAAAGAGGTGCAGGAGCTCATTAGTGTAACTCGTTAGCATAACTTGTTTGCATATGCCACACCCCCTGACCTCACCGGAAGTGCGTCAGAAGGCAACACCCACTGCTCAGGCTCCACTGGACTGTTTTGGATTGCTAGCTATTTTTTTGGGGGGGGAACGTGCAGATCTGTCCTCGCAGAGGAGGGAGAGCTTGTACCTGAATAAAACCTGGTCTTAAAGGTGCCACTGGACTGTTTTGGGCGGGGGTGGGGGCGGGGTGGGGGCTCTGCAACTTACCTGGCTGCTTCTTGCTCTGACTGAGGGCTGCTGGAAGCAGGGGGTGGGGCTTGTTGCATGTGCCCGCCCCCTGGGCTCTTTACTGCCGGAGCTCCGCTCCTGTGCGCTCCTGCAGGAAATGACCCCTGCCCCTGTAA